AAAAAATGGATCTTGTTATTGCCAAACTGGATAAAATAAACCATAAAAACGCAACTTTCAAGTTTGACAGGGGACTTCTTTTGCCTGCGTACGAAATAGTATCTCAGTGCAGCAGTGGCTTGTGGACTTTTAATTGTGGGATGTTTGGTTTGTCAAACAAAAGGAATTCCCACTACACCCCCTATAAAATGGCATTTCTGCCTTTTATTTTATTTGAACAATTTCATTTGTGTCCCCACTTCTTTCTTCTCCTGCTCGAGGAAGTTTTAGGGAGTTTGTATCGGCAATTATAAGCGACAGTCTGGAAAGCATTTTCACAGCACAGAGACCCATTCATAAAAACAGTGAATGGTGAAATCCATCACAAAAGGAAAATATTAAAAGATGATGATGATGATGTTATGATGATGGATGATATGCATGGCAACATTCGGTAAGGAACTGTAACAGTAATAACGTGGCAAAAATGATTATTATTACTGTTAGATCTGCGGCTGACAGCCACGGATCATTAAATTTGAATATATCCTGTGTTAGAAATGTAATAAATGATAAGGTTTCTGTGACAGAAGGTGCACTAAAGGTGCAGAAGAGGCACAACAGAGCTCAGATCGGAGGGCGGTGTGTTTCTTACCTCTGCTTCTATTTCAGCCTGCCTCTTTTCCAGCAGCTTGGCCACAACCATGGCCCTGTGTCTGCCTGAGCGCTTACAGCACACAGCCCATTCACAAAGCAAGGTCACCACCGCATCATCATCAGGTGACATCTGGATAGAAACACGCTTAATGAGACAACATCTCCAAAAAATAACATCACTCGGTGTCGCACTATTATCTGATGATCGGTAATCACGTGGCCTCAGCAGTCTGCTTTTTATTCCAATTAACAACAATGTGGTCTGTACTCTCCTGTAGCATGCAACTACTAAAGCTAACTCAAACTAAACTAACAACTGTGGGAAAAATCACTTTTGCTAACTTAAATAAAAACCTAGCCTTTAGTGAACCATTCAATCAAACTGGAAACGACCAAAACTACTAGAACTAAACTAAACTGAATACCAAACAAAATGTAACTATAACTGAACTTAACTGTTAACTCACTAAAATATACAGAAAACTCATTACCTCGTGGCCATCTTTGCTCTGGCCTGAACCAAATATCCTGTTGTACAGTGAATCCAGGGAGTTGTTGAAGTCAGACTTCTCAAAGCTGTGGTTGTCTAAAACCTCCAGAGTGTGGAGAACCCTTCCGATGGTGAATCCTGCCAAAAGAGCAACATTATTTTAATTTGTTCTCAAAAGCTGCAATCAAGCATCTAAAGAGTGAAAGAAACCGTTTTCATACCCGCTGTCGTCTCCTGGCACTTATCAAACGACCACCTGAACTCCACTGCCTGACCTCGCTCCTTAATCTGTTCCTCAATTTCCCGCAACTTTGCACGAACCTGTGAAAGACCACTCTGTTAGAGGGCAAGAAACAGAAACCCAAAACCTGTGGGACTGCCAACAAATCTTAAGATTATGAGGAAACTAAATAACCAATTAAAAGTAGTGAAGAAGGTTTATGTAAACCACAGTTTTCAAAGTTTCAATGCAAACTTCCATTTGCTCAAACTGGCTTTGTTGGTACCTCAGAGACTGCCCTTGTGTTTCTGCACTGGGAGCCTGTTTGTGCACAAATCTGTTTTGCTCTGTGCATTTCTTCTTCTTTATTGATTTACTGTAACACACTGGAATTCATTGCTTTTGTGCACTAGAAAAGCCAATACAATGACTTTAATTGCAAACAAATGAAAGAAAAGACCATGAGGTTTTTTTGAGCACCATATGAATAATTTCACATACAAAAAAGGAAAATGTGAGTATGGATGGAGGTACCTGCTGTGTAAAGGCAGTGTTGCCTCCTGGCATTGGCAAGCTGGAAGGAGCGATGGGCAGGAGGTCGAGAGGGGAACCAGTCTTGTTTCTGCTGTCTGTTAAAGAGTAATGCCACACAAGAGCACTGGGACAGCACAACACAATGCTCTAATGTGACGATGACAGGAGAGAGAGGGGCAGGGAGAAGGAATAAAGGAATAAATACGGGGCTTAGAAACCATGTATTAAGTACATGAGAATGAAATTGGACATAGGATACCTGTAACATGCAGCTGAGGCCAAACACCAGAGGCCTGTGCTGTGGACAGATATAGAAGTCTGTAAAAGGTGTCTGGGGCTGGTTGCCTCCCGCTGGCTGGGAGGTTGGTGTGGAGGGCAGAGCGTTGCTTTGCTGTGTCAAGATGCCGTGAGCTGGATGCCCTCCTGTGCCAGGGCCCAGGCTCCCGTCACTTAGCAACAAGTTGAGGCGGCGCGTGCAGAAGTAAGCCAGCCTTCGTGACAAGTAAGCAGACTGCACGAATTCCCCCGAGTACTGTGGCACAGAGGAGAGAGTCACAGCATTAACCAGAGCACTTGGTGTTCATTCACATCAGTCAGCTACAGAAATGGAAACAAAATGAGGGCTGTGGGCCCCGGTGGGTGCTGTCACCAAAGGTCATTGCCATCACACGAAGAAACACAACAGGATAAAGTGGTGACAGCTGTAGAAGCATGTCATACCACAGAGCAGGTGGGTGTATCTGCACAGCTGTATGAATGTAAAGGAGGAGTGCAGGTTTTGTAAATGTGATCCATTAAAGCACGAGTGATGAGGTTAGATTGAGACTGAGGTTCATAATGAGGTGACAGTGAACGAGCAGATGTGTATACCTGTAGTAAAAGGGGCAAAAGTAGTCTGAGAAGCTCATCTTCACCAGGCCGGACTTTCTCAAAACACTCCAGCACCCACGTCAGGAACTCGTGTCTGTCTAACATGCCATCCTGAGCACAGAAACACAAGTCCAGCTTAATACTACGCAGATCTCAACACTCCTACGCACTGTCTCCTGTGTGTGGCTGGAAAATGTATTAAATTACAACATCTCAACATTTTCATATATACACAGAACACAGCAGCTGCCTCAGACTTCATATCATCCACTCAGAAGACTACTGAGATTAATATGACTGAATATGCTGCACATACATGCAAGAGCAACATCCTTTGGCAACATCTAACCTCAAAACTTTCCAGATCTAAAACAAATGATAACTTTTAGAAAGGAAACTATTGATACAGCAACAACCCTGGAGTTCAAAGAATCAATCAGCGTCTGTAACACGTCCATTTAAATGTAAATATCAATTACAGATGGATAGTGAATATGATAAATATTTGTTACAAATTGCACACTTGTGACTCAAAGATAAAATAGTCTAATAAACCAGTGCGATTCATCAAAACCTAAATGTTGCCATGGAGCGTCATTAAGTTTGTGCACAGCAGGTAACTCGTGTAACTACCAAAGCTCAACTGCAGCATTTTAACTCCAAGACTTTTTCAGCAGCAGACTTGAGAGCGTGAGCCGACCTGAAACATGAACATGGCCAGCTTCTCGTTGTATTCCCACTGCTTCATGGCCGTCTCCACATCAGGGGGGTTAGCAGGCAGGGGTGAGCTGCAGCCTTGGCTGGGAAACTGTCGGTAAAACTCAGCCACCTTCTGAAGCTGCTCCCAGAGATACTTGGTAATGATTTGGGTCCATTCTATACAAACACACATACACACACAAAGAAATGACTTTCACAGCCGCCAAAATATCGAATACACGACGTCACAATATCAAATGAAAGGCAAAATGATATCGTTTAGCCAAATGATCCCTCGAGACTGAAAAGACCCAAATAACATGCTCACCTATGCACGGGTCAATCACATGCCTCTTCTTGACTTTAGTTTCTGTGATAGCTGCATGATATGCGCAGGTCATCTTAATCATCCATGCTGAACGCATTACAGGGACTGAGTACTTGGCCAAGTATCCAAAAACCTCTTCCTTCTTGCTAAAGATCGGTACCTGTAAAAAGATTTAGCAACAAATTTAATGCAGTGCTGTACTGAATATATATTGCTATATCTGACTGATATCTTCATCTCCCTATATAAAAAAAATGATAGCATTTTCTGATTGCAGTGGCTGATATTTATTTGTTGTGTTATCTTAATTGTGTGCCGGCAAACTGCTCAAAACCACTGTGATAAAAAGCTAAAAGAACCTTAATCATAAGTTAAAAAGGAGGAAATAACATAATAAAAAAGACTAAAAATATCCACAGTGATGACGGCCATTAATAAAATGTTTAACATGGATAAAATTAAGAGAGACTGCAGAACTGTGTCAAATTGCCACACCTCTAAATACACACAAATTGCATTCTGCACTTTTTATAGACTTCTTACCTCTCATTATTATTTGATAATTCCTTTATTTATTATGTCCATCTATATTATTATTAACATTAATGTTTAATTACATATATCTATATTACTTTTATTTTATTAGGTTATTATTTTTAATTGTTCCCAGGATGAGACCTCAGTAACTTCACCTCATTCTGTCACGTTTCTTCATGAAAATGTAGCATACATGTCAGGAATGTGTTATTTCTAAACTACATGGCTCCAGTCTTCAGAAATCATTTCATTCATTGCTTGATCTGCTTTGAAAATAAATGGTGAGAAAGAAAACACCTAAAACGCAGCCAAGGAGAAACCTGGGATTGTTATCCTTCGGGAAAAATGATCTGCCAAAGTCATTAATAAATCCAGCCAGTTTATCACGGCACAGTGAAGAATGTTAAGCAATAAAATAATTTAAAAAACTGCAATGTGCAAGTAAAATGATAAGCAGCTTGCTTGAAAACACACACAAAGCTCACCTTTCATTTATTTTGATGCTTTAAAACTTCTATATGCTTCAATTTGTAAGAGCACGCACTTGGAGAATAATTTCACAATATTGAACAAAACAATTCAGACAATCTATGAATAACAGATTTCGTAGTTCTTTAAAAAAAGACAAATAAGCTGTTGACACTTTCAAATAAAGACATGCATTGTGTTTTGGGTCAATACACCCAAACAAGACTAACAAAAGGCTTCATTTACACAAAAGCTTTATGTTTTCTTAACCAGGCTATTTAAAAAGTACTTCTGAATTGTTCCTGTTTCGTAACATCTGAACCAAACAGGAGAGTTCTGTTTAATACAGGAATTATTTTCTCTACACTCATTCAAACTGCTGCCTTTTCTCTTTCAGCCTTTACAGAACCAACACACTTTCTTCTCATGGTCATGTGCATGTAAGGATTTTGCCAACAATATTTTTTTCCCCCCAGATTTTTACATTTTGATCTTTTTTAACTCCACGATTTCTTTTGATCACGACCTCATCATCGGCCACGCTCTGGTGTGGTTTACCCCCAAAACTATCAAGAGTCCTCTTTGATGACCTCACCTGGGCTTTATACACACACTCAGTTTGCTTCTCTTGGGTTGAGAAGCAAACCAACAGTATGAGGAGTTGATGACTCCTCATACTGTTGCTCAATAATAAATACTAAGTTCTGTCTCACTAGAAAAAGTTTTCAAACCAATCAAGCCTATCAGCTTCAGGCAGCTCAATTTAAAATAAAAAAAAAAAACAACAAAAAACTGTTATTAGCTAAAATCACTAGGTTTTAAAAAACTACAAATTCATATAGCTAGCAAAAAATATAGTTGTTGCTGTGGCTCAGGTGGAGCGCCCAGTTGTAAGTTTGGTGGATTGATCTCCGACTCCTCTAGTCCTCATGCAGAAGTATCCTTTAACAAGATACTGAACCACTTGTCCCTGATGCATCCATCAGGGACAAGTGTGTGTGTAAATGTTAGAAATCATAAGCAGCATGTGTGATTGGGTAAAAGAGATTTGCAGTTGAAAGGCAGTATATAAGTACCAGTCCATGTTCTACAATGTGTGCCTTTCTCTTATTTTTGTATATATTTCTCCTGTTTGCCATTTATTCCTGCTTTCTACTATTTAATACATATATATATATACATATATAACACAAAAAATGACAACTTATAAATGATATTCTACAACACTTAACTCTGTTAATAGCTTATCTAGTAGAGCACACAACATCACATTTCAACCTGAAGAGGCAAAAGAGCCACCAAACTTCAAACTGCTGCTCCTCATGGTTATATAGCTATTAAACATGCAGGACATCCAAAGTGTGGGAGCATTTCAGTAGAGTAAAAGACAATCCTAAAACGGTAACCTGTAATCTCTGCAGGCATACATTCCCCTGTTATTCATCAACCTTTAAGAAAATGCCCCAAAATTTGAAACATGGATCCACTTGGCATGCCTGCTGGCTAAACATTAAAGTCTCTTTTATTTATCTATTTATTTATTTTATTTAGAAAGAGGGGTAATACATATTAATGAACAAGTTAACAAATGTAAATATGCCAGATTATAGCCTTGGGCTAATTTGCATCTGCAGACTCTCTGGCAGGTTGGCGTTACACACAAGTTAGTAAAAACATACAGAGACACTATTTACAGGTCATGTGACAAGGACAAAAACAGTGATCACATTATATTAGAACAAACAATGACAAGAAGAGTGGACAAGAGAGGACAATATAGATAACAATAATGGAAACACATCAATTATATTGCAAAACCCCAGTATTACACAGGCCCTGACTGTCCTGATATTGCACTGATCCATTACACTAATAGTTGTAATACACAAACTCTTTTTCATGTCCAATGTAAAGCGTGATTAATTAAACATGATCACATGTTTGTGTGTCCCTGAACCACCCTTTTAAGTGACTCTTAAAGATGGGTAGACTTGTACTTTCCCTCACTGACAGTGGAAGACTATTCCAGAAGCTCACTCCCTGATATGACAGAGCATCTGTGAAAAGGTGGTCCGTCTGAATGCCAGTTCACAATCACATCTCACAGTGGCTCGAGTCAGTCGAGAGCCGGCAACACTGCTAGACTTTTGTTTAATAAAATCACTCACTGGTGGAGGCGCCAGACCATGTATAACTTTGTATATTAGACAGGCAGATTTAAATCATTTGAAATTAGTAAAATTTAAAAACTTGTATTTATCTCACATTTGACAATGGTAATATAAAAAATGGTTTCTTATGTAATATTTTCAATGCTCTTTTGTAGCATACTTCGATTGGCCCAATAGCAGCAAAGCTCGTATAGGACCATCTTGTAACACAATATTCAATATGAGCCGGTATCATAGAGTGCAGGAATGTAATCGCTGCTGTGTCTGTTAATGATGTGCAGATATGTCTAAAGTTCTGTATATTAACATTTACAGTTTTCACTACTTTTTTAACATGTTTTTTAAAGGATAATTTTGAGTCTAGTAGCACTCCCAAACACTTAAATTCCTCAACATTAAATAGTTCTTGTGCACCCAAGCGAACCTTTACTGCAGCCACGGTTGTTTTAGGTTTACTAAAAAACACTGATACGGTCTTTTTAACATTAAGGCACAGGCATGGGTCATGCAGCCATTTTTGTAAATCACGTAATGCCAATGAAAGCTGATGGGCTGCATCATCAGCAGTTTTGGCTTGTGTAAAAATTGCCGTATCATCAGCATACATAATTGTGTCCACATTTTTGCACACATTGGGCAAGTCATTGACATAAAGTGAAAATAACAGGGGGCCTAGAATTGAACCCTGAGGGACACCTTGCGTACAGTAAGGATAGGGTGACTTGCTATTCTTTATTTGCATGCAATGTTTTCTATCTGGTAGATAAGACTGTATCCATTTAACGGTGTGATTACTAAAGTTAAATGTTGACAGTCTAGACAAGAGCTTAAGATGATTTAGTGTCAAATGCACAGAAATCAAGAAAAACAGCCGCAACACAAGTGCTCTTGTCTAAGTAAGACTTCACTCTCTCAACAAAAACACAAACAGGTGTTTCAGTTGAGTGAAGAGTGCGAAATCCGGATTGCATAGGGTGCAAACCCGGATTGGAGTCATTAAGATGTTTGATGATTTAGCAACCCACTTTTCTGCTATCTTTGAAAAGATAGGGAGTATGCTAATAGGTCGATAATTAGCAGGGTCTATTTATCACCCAATTTATAAATTGGTGTAACTTTTGCCACCTTCCAACTCAGAGGAACGACTGCCTGCGTGATTGATAAATTAATAAGATGGGTCAAAGGCACCAAAAGACAAGATTTATAATACTTCAAGAAATTGGTATGAAACCCACACTCATCCCTTGCTTTAGAACTTTTTAATTTAGAGATTATATTTTCTACTTCATTTTCTGTAATTTTTCAAATGTTGAACTTTGAATCTGGAGAAGAAACATCCTTTTTGGTGTCGGTATTCCCAATATTTTGTTGAGGGTCACAAGAATTAGAAAACACTTGTGCAATTTCATTAATAGTACTTTGGAAAAAAATCATTTGATTTAGTAGCAAGGGTGAGAGGCTCTGATACCAGTTCATTGGCTTATTTAAGTTCAAGCTCTTTATCAGCATTATGCTTACTGTTACCAAGGAGTTTGTTAATATTTTCCCAAATTAGCTTACAATTTCCTTTAGCACTATTAATTACAGTCATGAAAAAATTTGCTTTTGCCATTCTCAAAGTTTGTGCGACTTTATTCCTTGCAGATATAAAGTTTAATCAATCAGTATTTAATCCAGATTGTAACAATTTTTTAAGTAACTGGTCTCCGAGTCTCATAAGCTGTTTACACTCAGTATTAATCCAAAGCAAGGAATAAACTCGTTTCTTTCAATGGCTCTCTTTCTGAAACTGTGACAAGACCCCTTTAATAGAAGAGTATAATAGATCACAACATTTATTAGTGTCATCATATTATAGTATGCTATTCCAATCGAAATTATTTAGAGCTACCATTAAATGTTGTTCTTGACTATTTGGAATCAATGTTTTCTTTATATTCATGCTTTCACTGACGTCTCAGTGGCTTTTAGTCAGCTTTCTGGAGAAGAATATGGCACTGTGGTCAGACCACTGCCTACCATCCCCCAGTAGCTTTTCTGGCTACTGAAGCACATTAAAAATCATTAATAACTTTCAGGTTCTCTGAACTTAAGGCTTTCCTCCTACATGCTTTGGGAAGACTTCAAGTGTAGTTGTTGTTGTGATTTTGCTTCTCCACAGCCCAGGAATTTAAACTATGCTTTAATGTGTACTTACTTCATATCATAAATTTAAAAACAATTAACTCAATAACTAGGTGGCTTAATGACTTGTGCTCAACTAGGAAACCAATTACACGAATGCCCAATAATAAATAATAAACAAGAGGTTTAAGTCTTACCTTTTTAGCCAGCTGTGTCAGAGGTTTAGTCCCAGCTAAATCCGTGAACCAGTTATTGATGGAGCTCTGTGACCTCGCTGTGACAAGCCAGAAATTATCCTTCTGGTTGACCTGTGGTTTACGCTTCCCTGTGTCTGGAAACGTGCTGTAGCGCAGCTTCTCTGCAATAATGCTGCTGAAGTTTGAGCTGATCTATAAAGAGAGAGGGGAACATGTAAGATGGCCAAAACCCAGCAGGAGGGGGGGAGAATCTATCCAGTTGTGAATGGTATGCTAGGGCAGGAGCTGTGTTAAAATGAGCCATTACCTTGGAAGGGTTGAAGTTGACATTTTTGGCACTACCATGTTCATCACCAGATACAGCTGGTTGGTTATTGAATCCTTGCTTCACATTCAATGCAGTCAACTCATCCTGAAACACATTTCAGCGAAGAGAATTGATATTTTTCATGCGACGTTAGTGGTATAATTTGAGATCCTAGACCAGTGAGAAAGTCAGGATGTGTGGTTGATTGGTTTTGCAGACATGAGGTAAACATAAATAACAATAAAAACATTTTTTAATTATTATTGGGGAAACATAAAGAGTCACTTTTCCATTTGCATCAACAGATTACATCAGGTTATTGCTGGATATGAACGAAAAGGGATACCTCAGCTAGGCCAAACTCCAGTCTAAAAACTCAGCAAATAATTTACAGCTTGCTGGTAATAAAGATTAGCTTTGAAGGTCTGGTTATTCGTAAAAACAAACCATATGGCTATTAAACAGAAACAGTCACGCACAATCCAAAACCGAGCGCATATTGTTTAAAACCACACAGTAAGACAATGGCTGCAGTTTATATCAAACTGCAACGCATCCGCCACCCGAAGAGTTAGCTTAGCAAACTCAGCGATCTTACCAAGTAGCTGATTGTCAACTAAGAAGGGCAAGCTAGCTAACAAACTGACAACTAGGTTCTGTTCATTGTTATTGCTAGGCCCAGACCGTTCACAGGACTGCTAGCTAGTGTTAGCTCGCACAGCTCCTCTGCCTACAATTTTCCTCGAGAAAACGTTACTCCCGGCCGTTCAGGGAGCACGTCGTCAAATCTGACCTCTTTTTGCTTTGGATCTTGCGGATAAACGTCCGGAGGGCCGAGTCGGGGCCGCTTTAATGGACGGTGTTCGTAACTTAAGATCCCGAAAGCAGCCATCATCCAGCGGCATCACAGCTAAGGCTTTCCTCCTTCCAGCAGCCTGGGGCGAGCTACAACAACCAAACTCACTTCCGGCAGGGTTCCAGTCGTGAACTTCAAAATAAAAGTCAGGGAAAATATATTGCATAAAAAGCTTTGTGCTTTTTAGTTACTCTAGTAAACCGCCAGTAAACCCTATACAGAAGAAGAAGAAGAAGAAGAAGTTACTCTTGTACAGGGGTCGGCGACCTGCGGCTCTTTAGTCCTTTTAGTGCGGCTCCGCGTGGTTTGGGAAAATAAATTAGTTTTTTTTAAGTAATTAGCTTTAGTGTATTTTACTTATGTTGGTTCTTTTTAACTTGTAGTTCTAAATTGGAAGATTATTGTGATATTGAAATATAAATCTAAAATTATATTCTATTATTTTTTGATCGCTCAAAATAAGCGTCACACTTGCAAAAGCCGAAACGCCGTGCATTTATCGAGACTTTCAACCCCAGGTAGGCCAATTATGGATCTTTGGATCCACATTATGTCAGCAGCTCCACCGTGAACTATGTTAAAAACAAACCCTGCTCACGCCTCACAGACGACAGCTTACAGTCCTGCGTAAAGTTGAAAGTGACTTGTACAGCCCCAATCTGCAGACGCTGTGCGCAGAGGTTCGGGACCATAAGTCTCATTGTAAACATATCACGGCAGAC